AAATTGAATTTCTGATATTATACTCCAAATAACTTTTACCTTCATTCTTACTTATTCCAATTAATGACAATTCTACCATGCCTGCTAAGATTTTTTTTACTTGGTTTCTATTGATTGGCTCTTAACTTTTGTGCCACATTGTATCCGTTAGCAAATCTTAAAATATAATCCTAATCTAACCTTGTATTACTCTTGTTACCTGTGTTTCACAATACTACCTTCTTCTTTCCTTTACATATAATACCTATAAGAGAGAGGTTTCTCAAATTTCAGAACCCAATGAGAAGTGCAGGTACACAGGTTCAGTGATGGGAAACTCCAGGTCTCAAGGGATAGGGGATGGGCCGGTCTTTCTCATCCTCTGGTCCCCATCGGAACTGGTGGTCACACCCACAAACTGCCTCTGGCTGCTACTTAAATTCCTTAATGGCCATGATCCAGAGACACACTAAAGAAGCTCTGAACCAAGCAACTCACTGCAGAGATTTCTCCAGACCCTAATTATCTAAAATTTTAGAATTCCAGGAGCACACTGCTGCTTTTGTGGCCACACGACATCTTATGCTATTTATAACAAACAATACAAAGAGAATATGGGGAGATTGTCTGCCATAGAGGTGGTTAGGGGGTGGAATGGGCAGGGGAGATACTGGGGACCTTGGTGGTGGAGGTTGTGCACTGATGGAGTATTGGGTGATCGATCATTGTATGACTGAAACTCAAACAGGAAAGTTTTGTAACTGTATCTCATAGTGATTAAAAAAAAGATAATAATAAAATAAAATTAACATTCTGAATAAACAAAAAAGTAATGTGGAGTTCATGCCCAATTAAATCAGCTTAATCAATGGCTGAATAAATAGCATACTTTTATATTAAAAAAAGAGAGAGAGAGAGAGGCTCCTATTGATGATGATGCTGATGCTGATGATGATGATGATGACAAAACTAAAATATTCATGAGATTACTACAAACCATCCTAGATTAGAAGAAAATGTTTGCCTATAGGGCAATCACAGGCATTTGCCCTCCACAAGAGTCCTTCCTGCGGTTGCACAACATAACTGGTAACACCCTACAACACACGTAGGTAACTTTTGCAGTTACCAGACCTGGTTTGTTTAGTTCTTCTCTGACAGCTAATATGTGAGAGAGCAGAAATTCATAACAGGTAGACTGGGTACTTGGGAAGAAGGCACATTCCTCAAGAGAGAAAAATGTATTTCAGAACCCAAATGTTTCTAAATTCCACAGGAATATTACCTAGTTATTTCTAGTCTTCTGACTCCATACAGTTAGTTTACCATAAAAAATTGGTTTTCACATTAACTAACTTGCCCAGTGGACATGTGTTATGCCAATTTAATCAAGCTTGTGGAGAAGCAAAGTTGGATGTATAGTCAAAGGTAAGATTTTCAAGTTGATGGATAAACGTTTCTCTTAATTCTACACACAGTAATATATCTATTGACTTCCTACTGGTATCTCTTCAACCACTATTTAAATTTAAATAAAATGCTGATTGTGGGCCAAAAATAGTATAACAGACAAGATACTTGTCTTGCACATGCTCTACCCAATTTGATCCCTGAAACTGGATATAATACCTCAAGTCCACCCAGGGTGATCCTTAAGCAAAGACCTAGGAGTAAATGCAGCACAACCAGATATGTCCCCATTAAAAACAACAGAAAAGATTATTTACAATGGTTATAAAACTTTAAAATTTTAGTAGTATATTTTAAACATCTGTATGTCTCATCATAACCAGAACCAAAGTTGTAGTCTGTACCCATGTGTTCCTTCATCAATTTATTTTCAACAGGGCAATCCACACTAATAATATCTGAATAACACAGGCTGGTAAGATACTAAAGTTGGCACTCGCTCTGCACACAACTGCTCTGGGTTCAATCTACAGAGTCACAAATCATACCCTAATTGAGAAATAACAGCTGGGGGCCACCCCCAAACCAATGTATATATGTATAAACATGCACATACATATGTGTGTGTTGTGTATATATGTGTGTGTGTATGAATAATACTGTATTACTTCCTGCTCAAAAATCTCCTGTCCATAATGTAATCTTTCAATTTCAGTACTCACCAAATAAGCTCCTGCCTTTTGAAGGACATTGCATGATATATCTCTAATATATGTGTGTGTGCATCATATATAATGTATATATTTCATTTCTTTCAATTTTTTAATGACACCTTCTCATTAAATGTATTAAAATTTGTAAGCTCTAGTCCTATTCCAAATTCAAGTCCTGAGCTAACTGTTCCTGATCTCCTTGAATTCTCTTAATAGTATTTAGTAATCTTCTTTGATACATTCTTATATGCATTATTGTATGCTTAGCCCACACTACAATGTAAGTTTGTTAAATTCAAGATTTTCTGTCAGTTTAATAACTATCTCTGGCATATACAGTAATGACATTTACATGTTCTCAATAAATATTAGTTGAACCAAACTGAATCAATACTTATTTAAGATCTAAATATAACTTACCACAAAGTCGTCTCTCTCGTTTGAATTCCATATTTAATATTATTTGACTTACTTTATCACTCCACTCTCTCCACTCTTTTCCTATTTTTTTTGAGGGGGAGGGCATTAAACCCAGGACATCACACACACAGGCAATCTTTCTTTCACTGAGCTACATTCCTGGTCTGATTTTTCCCCATTAAGTTTTTTTTTTTCATTGAGCTACAACTCTGGCCTGATTTTTCTCCATTAAGTTTTTTTTTTTGGGGGGGGGAGGGGTTGTTCTGGAGCTATCCCCAGCAGTACTCAGGGCTTGCTTTTGCTCTGGGCTCATGAATCGGTACCATGCGGGAGCCAGAAACCAAACTCAGGTTGGCCACATGAAAGGCAGGACATTACCTGCTGTACTATCTCCTGGCCCTCCAACTTTCCTTTGAATAATTATAGTTATAAAATTTCAAAGATATACAAACTAGTAATTTACCCATATATTTTTAGGCATCTTACATCTAATTTAATATTTTCAAAGTGCAGGGAAAAGAACTACTCTCCTCATTACTGAATGAATTTTAAAATGCTTTTGTGTGAAATATTTAAGATGAGAGAAAACAGAAGATTCAATACGTAGGGGCACAAAGTTAGCTACTTACTTCTTAAACTAGAGATAAATATATCAACACTTGAATCATCTTCCCAAAAATAATTTGGAAGTTCTAACTAGTTTATGGCCTCATATTTATTTTCTATTATATAATAAATTGTAGGAATCATTTTTCATTCTCATGAGTGGATATAAAAATCTTATTCTTCATATCCTTAATCCAGTTAATTAGTTACTATTTGTTATAATTTATTAAGTAGTCATCTTGTAATATGGCATTTGATAATGTCACATTAATAAAAATCTTTTGGTGTATACCTGAATTAACAGTGCTACAGTATACCTGAATAATCTCCTTTGACATAAAATGAAGACAAATGAGTTTTTATCTTCTACTTATAGTTTTTGTGGAGGTCAAACTTTGTATAGTTTTAGTCTTATATTATAAAGGATGGAACTTAGGATTTCACACATGCAAACTGACTCTGCCACTTAAGCCAAATTTCTGGCCCCAATTCTGACACTAAACACGATCAAATGAAAATAAAATAAAAAAATTTAATTGGAAAAAATTCTGAGTACCCTTTTATTCAAGAGAGAATTTAAGGAACAAATTTAGTAGCCTGAAAAACTATTCCTTAAATGTATCTATAATTTAATACCTAAAATATAGTCAAGAAGGGTTTGTCAAGTACTCACATTTTGTATATCTAAAACTATAAATCAGAGAATATACACACAACATATATATAAATTAGCCCATGCCTTTGAGCTTCTTCAGTCAAAATGAGTACTTCAGTAAAATCTTAGAGAATACTGAATAAACATATATTTAGTGTCTAATACTGTAGCGCTGTAGCACTGTCCTCACGTTGTTCATCAATTTGCTCGAGCGGGCCCAGTAACATCTCCATTGTGAGACTTGTTGTTACTGTGTTTGGTATATGGATAGTCAAGGGTAGCTTGCCAGGCTTTGCTGTGCAGGCAAGATAACTCTGGGTAGCTTGTTGGGCTCTCTGAGGGGGGCGGAGGAATTGAACTTGCATTTACTGGGTGGGCTGCATGCAAGGCCCTACCCGCTGTGCTATCGCTCCAGCCTATATATTTTAGTGTCTAATACAGATCATCAAATAAACACATTTCTAGATTTTTATTACCCAAAAACAACAAAATATTTTGAACATCAGAATATCTCTAATGAAAAAAGAATCACTACAAATTGTCTTCAGAAAATGCAAATGAAATAGAAAAACAAATATGTACAGCTATGTTAGCAGAAAATTACTTTAAAATGTACGGAAGAGTTATAGGGCGAAAAATTATTATACTTGAAGTACTAGATAAAATTTCTTGTCTGATTTTCAGGCAAATTTTCTTTAGCACTAGAGTCTCCTGGAATGTTCACTCATTGGAGATACTTTCCCTTGAACATTCTGACACATTGTTTAGGCTCTCTCAATCAATGGTCAGTTAAGAAAAATAAAGAATTAATTCCAAAAGGTGGAGCGGGATTCCAGAAAGAAAACCGAAGTAGAAGAGATGGAGGGTGGGAGTATCATGGGCACTTTGTTATGAGAAGCATGTTCGTGCATCAATACCATATATTTTTAACACTCATAACTTTTTAAAGTATAATAAATAAAATATAAAAGTAAAAAAAATCTTCCTTGGGAATGAGCAAATTCCCACGTAGCATTATGGTAGATGTGTTACAACAGGAATCTATCAAGACTTCCTCATTTCTGTCTGTTTCTCCATCTGTGCAATACTGATGATTCTCCTTTGATTAAAAATAAATTACTATCTTCAAAAATAAGGTCATGCTTTATAGGATAGTCATGGTTCTCAAACTCCATTCCAACTTGTAAGTGGTACAAATGTAAATGTTTTTGTTTTACCTCATCCTGCTGGGAGTTCAGCAGCTGCAGTTTCATGTGCTTCATATAGGCCATGGTAATTGGCATGTTGTAGTCAATCATGCTGGTCACCAAAGTAGGAGGTTTTCCATTATCTATAATAAAACATTTTTAATGGGTAATGAAAGTGAAGCTGCATTCTACCTGCAATTTCAGAATGATCTAATTTGTTCAAAATGAAATATGTGTTAAAGAGATTGGTAGCATTATAGATTGTAGGTAAAATAAACTGTAAGGTTACATAAAGATGTATTTAGGAGAATTAGCACTTGAGATAAGCTAGTTATTTTAAACACAGAGAATCCCATTCACTAGCCTGGGTAACTAAAATAGAAGCTAATATGGTGACCAGACACAGTATTATTTTATATTTTTCTTCTATGTACACGTATGCATATATTACTGGAATAAAAGGAAATGTTTGTTTTTCTTTTTTATTCCCATTTTACTTATACTCCAATTCATAGGAATGGGCAAATAGAACTGCATATTTCAAATTAATTGAACCTAAGAGCTATTTATATATTAGAAAAACAACATAGATTCTAATGGAAATTAAAGCCAAATTATAATGTCTGTAAAACTACCTTGAATGAATTCATGTTATTCATTATTGTTAGGATTAAAGAATTTATAGAATAAAAAGGGCACTAATGGTGCCTGCTTTTCCTTGCCGGACATATTTTAGATGCCATGAAATACACACACATGAAAATTAAAATATCATGATAGGATCAAAGTTATTTGCCTTCGTTGAAACTGTCTTTTTTCTCTGAGATGGGCATCACATTCCTTTCGTAAGTGGATATTCAAAATTCACTGCTACTTGAATAAATGAGATGATTTGACTTGTTGAACTGTTTCAGTCTACCACATTGTTATAGAAGTGTGAGATATAAATTGCCATTATGAATAAAATTACTCTAAATCTCACTATTTGACACTGTGGCTACCTTTATGATCTGTTCCATCTGGGTTTAAATGCATTCTTTTCTGGCACTCTGAGCAGCTCATTAGAAACCGTGTCACCGCTTCTCTTGGTAGGAAGGCATAGCTCTCTGAAATCTGAAATGATTCACAAAATAGAGGTATTATTATATAAGCTGACTGACCATGATTCAACAGAAATGATCATTGTATTTCCAAATAAGACACATTATTCCATAATGGCAGGAAGCACAATGAAAGCATGCACTGCATACCATGCATCATTTCAAGAAATATCTATCCAACTTGATTGCATGTTTCTTAACAATAGCTAATAATAGGATGTGGAGGAAGTAAATCTGCCACATCTGGATGGGTATCTGTATTTCTGCATTTCTTTTAGGAAAATTAATCAGAGTGTACATATAGTATAATGATTTTAACTTTTTAAAAACTACCAACATTGTTGTTTAAACTTACTGCTAATACCAACAAAATTTCATTGAATTTATATATTTTTTAAAATTTAGCCTCAGAAAGTAACAATAAACTTTGGATTTTGCATTAATGAGCATTTTCAAGTAAAATAAATAATTCTAACAGAACTCTGGACTATTACTGTCTCAAATCACCTTTTCCACAGAAAATGACACACCTGGAATTGTATTTGGCCACTTATTACATATAATATCTCATATTAACACTTATAATTTTGGTCCACAATAGTTCACGATTTTTAATACCTTCATAAAGGCTTATATTCTCAGGACCATTTATCCAGAATGAAGTTAGATTCTACAATATTCCAGTAATTGTTTAATATCAACATTTAGAAACCAAGGTAAGTACCTCTTCTATTTCTCAGGTGCATACACAACTATTATAAACACTAATAAACTTTAAGTGTGTATAAAAGAAACAAAATATATACCTGGTACAAACATGTACTAATTCCCGCTAATTGTGATGGGGGTTAACTTTTCCTTATGTCTGGATTGATACAGAAGGATCAGAGCACTGAGAATACACCAAAATTAAAAAATGTAAATAATAATATCCCTGATTTTAATATTAAAGTAAGTTTGGACCACTTAACCTAGACCACTGACAGAGGAAAAGAAGTCATAAGAACAGTAAAGAAAAGAAACCAGTCAAGAATAACAGTGTGCCAAAGAAGAAACATCTCCATCATTAAAGTTTGCCATGAACTATCTATGTTCAGGTAATTAAAAATTCAATAGACATTCAGAATATGAAACTATAATTTTATATCACTATAATTTGTAAATTATATTCCCAGATAAAAATCTACTTTATCATACTATCCAAAAATTGTGAAAGAAAATGATCCAGAACAATTTCATCTGTAGTATTTCACTAGTTTAGTTTGGCTACTAAGAAAATCACTGTCACTGTTACTGTCCTCCCCTTGTTATCAATTTGCTCGAGTGGGCTCAGTAACATCTCCATTGTGACAATTGTTACTGTGTTTGGCATATTGAATATGCCACGGGTAGCTTGCCAGGCTTTGCAGTGTGGGCGAGATACTCTCGGTAGCTTTCCGGGCTCTCCTAGAGGGACGGAGGAATCAAACACAGGTCAGCCATGTCGGCAGCTTGCAAGGCAAACGCCCTACCCACTGTGCTATTGCTCCAGTCCACTAAGAAAATATATTTACAACTTAAGTTTTAATTTACTTGTACATTTTATATATGAACACTCATATCTGATTTCTGCTCACCTATTTTACAGAACTAGAAAATTGCCTTTTTTTCCATTAGAGACTTTGTAAAAATATTTTATAATAATTTAGAAGTTAAAAGATAAATTTATGGTGTGTGCTCCATATTGGCATTTTATATTGTAACTATATAAAATGGAATTATCTATAGCCCATTAAAACTAGTGAAACTGACCAGGAAATTCAATAGCAAACAGAACTTGAGAAGAATGTTCCATAGATACTCAAAGAAAATTTTTGTTTACGTAAGTAAAGACTTAGTAAAAGAGAAACCACTACTGAGAAAGAACTGGGCAAGTGATGAACTCTTTTGAAATGGCATGTCATTGGTTTCCATGTGCCTAATCATCAAAACCTTCCCATTTCCTAAGGTTACTAAAGTAATTATGCATGAATTCCTTATAAACAGATTTATGGTTTAACTGATTCAACTGCATTTATCCTAGCACTACTTATCTCTAAACCAGTTTTTCTAGGAATCAGTATTAATCATTTTTTACTTCATTTGTAGTTTTATTCTGAAAAAGAAATGAATCTGCAATGATTACAAATATATTTGTGATTGTGCATACATATATGTATGAAATAATATCAAGTCCCATATTAAACCTTAACAAAGGTTATTTTGCAGTTACTTTTATGACATTATCTTCTCTAGTACTAGTTGGCACATACTTGGCCTGACACTATATGTTCAATAAATGAATACAAACACGTATTGGGGCACACATTTTTTGGTCTTCAGAATCCATTTTATGAAAAATATCTAGTAAGGTATTGTAGTAATTGCTTTCTTCCCTACAGCGTGCATTTGGGACCCACAGAATATGGAGTATTTCAGGAAAACAGATTTTCTGAGATAACTCACATTCCATTGTGAATACTACATTTTCTGCTATGAGGTGAAAACACATCTTTCCTTATCTACAATATTCCTTCCCTTAGGAAAAGAATAAACATTTCCTTTGTGAATTAAACATCCTAACCAAGCTTCATTGCTGAGATTCTCAGAATATATTTTCTTAATGAAGGGACCACTTTACACATTCAAAAGTAAAGCTCCCAGTCTTTACTTCCTGTGGGCATTTAGCCTCAAGACATGCAGCGATAATATTGAAAGCCTGCTTGTAAAGGCTCCCTAGAACTTAAATGCTCCTATAGCTACTGCTCTAATGAAAAGCCCAGATTCCATTTGCAGAGAGTGACTGTTTGAAATGCTAAATGAATTTTTGTTGTTTATAATGGTAATAAAACTCAGAAACAACTTCTTCTAGACTGTTTATTGACCTAAATACCAATATCCTTTACATAAAATGTAACTGCAGTTTCAAATAAAACTTACAAAAAACAAACACTGGCAAAGGCTTTAAGACACTTGAAATACTATTCTACAAAAATTGGAATTAGTTATATAAAATTCCATAATTATTCATAAGTATCTATTTCCTTGATTAACTTTTCAGGCTACTCTGTTTATTCCAACAGACATATTAAAGAAACGCTTAAACAAAAATGAGGAAAAGTTTTAATTGATTATTAATATTGTATTTATAAATTAAATCCAAAGTAGATTCACAAAATAAAATCAGCATTGTGAAGCTCCTAAACTTAAGTTATGCTTATAATTATATGCTGCTGTTATTTGTTAATGCTGATTTTGAAATTAGAATTATCTGTGGCTGAGGGATAGAGGTGTTGATACATAATAATACTTCATCTTAATTATTCACTAGAGTTTGAATAACATTGACACCGTTTACCAAAAAAGGCAAAAAACACTGTATTAAGACTGTAATTCATCAGTATTATAGAAAATCAGGAATTAGAAGTAGAAATGACTTTCTTTTCCCCTGGTTTTCAGGCCACACCCAGAGATGCTCAAGTGTTACTCTGGACTCTGCATTCAGGAATCATTACTGATGGTAAATTACTGATGGTGCGACCATTTGGAATGATGACTATTGAACCCAGTTTACTTTGCGCAAGGCAAGTGCCCTACACATTTGTACTATCCCTCTAGACCCAGAAATGACTTCTATCCTCAAAAATTATAATACAGAAATATAAAAATAATTAAACTGCAGATGTTACTTGAAAAATTAATCACCAAATATGATTCACAGAGCAAAGACAGTACAATTCTAGTAATGATAAGGCGGTTCACCTCCAGGAGTCTCAATGGTTTACTTTGTCAAGGGACATCTTAAGGGACCACTATGTGTCGATTTAAACAATAAAAAAAATGAACATAAACCTATTTCCGAAAAGTCTAACTAATCTTGCCAACTAATCTTTCTACGGTTAGAAAACTTAGTACCAAAATATTATTGACCAAAATACCAATATCCTTTACATAAAATGTAACTGCAGTTTCAAATAAAACTTATAAAAAACAAACACTGGCAAAGGCTTTAAGACACTTGAAATACTATTAAATTATATATACTAAAGGAAGGAAGGAAGAAAGGAAGGGAGGGAGGGAGGGAGGGAGGGAGGGAGGGAGGGAAGGAAGGAAGGAAGGAAGGAAGGAAGGAAGGAAGGAAGGAAGGAAGGAAGGAAGGAAGGAAGATGCCAATTCTTGAGCTCACGTACTAACAGCACCCCCATCCCACCACCCTGGGCTTGCACAGTGAGACCTTAACGGATGGTTCCTAAATCAAACAAACAGAAACAGGGGCCTGGGAGAAGGTTGGGATTGAAGCCTTTGTCTTGCCTTGCTCCCCTTGCCTTGCAGGTTCAATCTAGGACCAGAATCTCCCTTGTCAGGTCAGGAGTGATCCCTGAGTACATTCTTCCGGCAGCCCCGAATACTGCTGGGTGACCCAAAACCCCAAACAGTGTAGCCAAATTCTTTCATTTCTCAAGTCCCACATACTTATATCAACAAGTGTTTTTTTTAATAAAAACAAAAAAGCTATACAAAATATCTGAAATTAAACCAACAACTGTTGTTAAATTAATCTGTAAATTAACTGGATGATGTGTCTGAGCATTGAACCCTATCTGAAACAACTTTTAATGAACAACTTTGTAAATCAAGGCATCTTAGCACTGCAGCACTGTCCTCCTGTTGTTCATCAATTTGCTCGAGCAGGCACCAGTAATGTCTCACAACAAATGGTGAGACTTATTGTTACTGTTTTTGGCATATTGGATACGTCAGGGGTAGAAAAGAAATTTGTCTTAATAAAAACTTACATTCCAATTTTGGAAATGTAGAATTCCCTGCACCCACTGGAGTTGAGGTGCCCAGAGCCAGCCCTGGCAATGTGTAAGCAGATGATGGCTCTGGCCTCTGGGGTCAGGGTATGCTTTAAGAGGGATGGAACCCAATCCTTACCTACCTGGTACAGCTCTGTGTTTTACAACTTCATGATTCAAATGTATCTCCTTAACT